GGGGAGGGGAGATTTTTGGCCAAATTTTAGCTGGCATCATTTGTGAATAGTTTTCAAGGCTCTTCACCTACTGGGCTCGGTCGTATTGGGGGTGGATTCTAGATTCGGTCTTCCCTCCTCTTAAAATAACCTCCTCACTCTGTTGAAAGGGGAATTGTAAACAAAGCACATACAACTCGTTTGTCCCACGGGATGCTCTAACAAAATGTAGTATTATCTTGGCCTTTTCCCGTCGCCTGTTTGTTCAAGGTCTCTTAGAAAGCTGCTCTTGGTTTGCCTCTGCTTCTGTTGCCATGACCACAACGTTTCTTAACAATGTTGACAGGGGTGTTAAATCTATACCATTTCACCATTTTCACGTGTTTTTTTCTATCTGGGTGTCTCCTACTTTCGCATGTTATAGAGACCCCTACTAAAACCTGTAGTATCTTCACATGTACCAAGCCAAAGTAAGAAAATGACGAGGTTACTATTTCTGTAATGTTTAGGTACACAGTATTCATAATTACTGCGACTGTGATAGAACTTATTACTTACTGATCCCATAATCCACGAGGATCGCAGGTGCGCTGTATGCTAGAGAGCCTCGTCAGTTAAGATTACCTCCACTTAACACGTTTTTTTTTTGCGAGCGATGAGTTTGGGCGAAGATTTCCCCGTCCACTCCACACTGTTTTCGGTCGACCTCTTTCTTTTAGTTTTTAGTTTTAGGAGAGGTTTTTTTGGCGGTCGCAACCGCCTAAGGTCATATGAGCGCCAGAAGATTAGAGGTGTTACAGGTGAGAGTAACAAACATAAAAATGAAGAAGGGGAGATAAGGACGATAGATGTTTCATAGGAAAGAAGAAGCAAACCACACCAAAGCACCCGCCTACCATCCTCCGACCTCTTTCTTTGCCTTCCTCTCCTTCTCCTCCCCTGCGCAGTTCCCTAGAGAATGGTCTTGGATTGGCAACACGATCCTGTTATAATATGACCACACCAATTCATTTTTCTTCGCTTAAAAAACAAGACAGTAGACAGCAAGTCTAAATAGTGACTCATGGGATAGACTAGGGTTGACCAAAGTCTACTGTCCCACCAAAAAGAGTGCGCAACTCCTCAGCTGGTGGGGTGACACTACTGGCCATCACATTCTGTGTCCTTCTACTGTAGAGGTAGCATAATTTTTGTTTCTTGCCGTTTTTTCCACTGTGGGTGGATAGAGGGAGAGAGAGAGAGAGAGAGAGAGAGAGAGAGAGAGAGAGAGAGAGAGAGAGAACGAATACACACACACACGCATACACACACATACTCACACATACTCACAGAAAGGCGAAGGACATTAAAACTCAAAAACATATATTGCTCGTTTTATTGGCAAACGAAGGAATTTAGCAACCTTAACATCATGATTTGCAATAAAAGCATTGTTGTTTAGGAGTATCTTTTTAACACCCCTTCCCCCACCCCCTATCCTGGCCTCCCTCACAGAGAGGAATCCTGCCTTTGGAAGTAGATAATATTTGAAGAACCTGAAAGACAAATATAATATAATACAACCTGTTTTTCTTTCACGTTTAAAGACACAATTTATTAAAAAGTGACTTCAGCAGTTTCTGATTAAAAACGGTGTTGGTATTTACTTGGATTGGATTTACTTGGATCCAGATCTTAAATCATAGCAGGCGGCACATGTACATAGCTGCTAATATCTCCTTTCCAGCGTCCACCTCAGGGTCTTCCACCTAATTGTCTCCACGAGGAGCTGGTTTGAGACACGCCTGACCACTCCTCGGAGCAAACTTTTTTTTCGCTGTGCTCACACACTTTTCTTTTATTGTGCTGAGCGTGTGGGAGTCTGTCTCCTCTTGGTCATGAAGGCTCTCCTTGCAACCAGTGTTGGTATACAAAACAGTAAAATCAAGCAATAGATAAAAACAACAACTTTAGAATTATGATTATGCCTTTTATCCACTGTGTCCTTTATTTGTAAAGAGTTTATTTTCTTAACAAACAACAATAACCATGGTAACTAATACTTTAAGGAGTTCGTGTGTACCCTGTATATCTTGAGTAAAAACGTGCAGGTGCACCCGCTAACCTTATAAATCCGTGCCTTGTCCCGTATTATTTTTTTAGTTTGACATGATAAATGAGCCATATCCTGTTTACAATCTTACAGTCGTTCTGGAAAACGCCGTTGCGCATTCCGCAGGTCAAGGTGACATTACAAAGACACGTAAGTGTATAAAATAGGGCTTACTTCAGCAGTCCTTGCTGGCATAACGATGGGAGTTCGTTGTGTGGCTCCACGAGTGAGGGAATAAGACACACAATGATGGTGTAGAAGACTGTGTGTTCACAATTAATGTCTATGGTGTAAGGGAGAGAGTTAGAGGCTCTTTGCCGCCCTACCCTGAGGATGTGAGTTCTTTTTTTAACAGTTTAGTTTTAGTAAGAGTTTTACGGCACTTGCAACTCAATAAGGTCATATAAGTGCCGAAGATTAGAGGTGTTACAAGAGAGTAACAAACACAAAATAGGAGGGGAGGAAAGGACGATAGACGTTTGATAGGAAGAAAGGAGCAAACCACACCAAAGCACCCACCAACCACCCGTGGGAAGTGAGTTCGATTTCCGTGTGGAGAGGTTATTTTTTTCATAGCGTAGGTATCCCTGTTTGCTGGGGAGTTATACACCTCTCAGCCCAGGTTGTGTTTGACAGACAGAAGAAAAGCGGCCAGTCTCCTGATGGATCTAGATTGTGTCGATACAGGTGGAAAACATGCACAAAACTACACCTTTCTTTTCTTAGTTTCTCAAAGTGCTGTAGAGAGGACGGGGAGGGAAGGAGGGCAGGAGAGAGAGAGAGAGAGAGAGATAGAGAGAGAGAGA